ATTTAGATTAAGTGAAAGAGCAAGGTGTCAAGGTGCCCTCTTGATAAGAAGTATTTGAAAGTCTTTCCTCTTCTTTCTTGTGCTAGTTTCTTTTCTCTTTAAGGTTAAAAAAGGCTCTCATTAGACTAGTGATTGGTTTTGATAGGTTTTTATTTTGCCAGCACAAACTTTTCTCCTTTCCCTTTACTCTTCTCTTTTACCTTCTCAAAAAAATAAAAATTTTATACCTTAGGACCACAGAGGTTAAGTTGAAATGAATAGTCTTAATGAAAGGCTGGTGATGATATTGAGATCAATAGTAAACATAGGTCAAGATAGAGTAATTTTATTCATTACTCTTAATTACATCTAGAGGCCAATGGCTGTTAATGGATGTGCTGTATAAAGAAAGAAGTTTAACCCTTAATATAGATTTGTTAGACACTTTGTATTTATCCATTTGTACCTCAGATCAATCCGAACATACCAGTTTGAATAAATTTAAATATATGACCTGATTAGATATAAAAAAATATATATATATATATAATAAAATAGACATTAAATATCAATTATTTATTGATATATATAATATCATAATTACATCAAATACCATCTATTATTATTACAATAGCTAAATATTAACCTATCTACTTTTTATATTTAATGATATACTATTTATCTTTGAGATATATTATATATTTTTAAAGGAACCTATCTAGGAGATGAGAATCCTATCACTAGTTTTAAACCATCTAATCTATTAGTTCAACTATTTGTGAAAACAATAGAATACTGTTAACTATTTACCAAAATTATTTATTATATATCTTTACCATATGCAGCTAATATAGTAGAGGATACTCAATATGGATATATACTCCCTAGTAAAGATGGGTTCTTAAATTAAAGGCAAGGATATAATTCAAATGTCTCTTGCTATTAAAAAGTTTTTTTTTAAATATAAGATTAAAAAAAAACTACTTATAAATAAATAATTATATTCTTTCAAAAGGAATATAATTGATCTGCGAAATTTTATATATTAAATAATTTAGGAACCTATTTTTACTTCTTAGTAAATGTTTCAGTTTTTGTCTACTGGTTAATACTGGCTATCAAATCTAGGGGCTCTTGTGGCCAAGTAAAGTATAACTCTTTAAAGACCATATAGGCTATACTAAGTAAGCTCCCAAAGTCCTTTATTTTCTAGTAGACATTTCAATTTGAAACCAATTAGCTTAAGCTGTCAAATCTAGGGATATAAATGTCAAGCAGGATACAACTCCTATATATACAGTAAGCCGTTGGGAAGTCATATTTCACAAAATATTAGTGTTAATTCAATAATTTTCTTCAAAGCTTTCTTATTTAACAGTTAATAGAAAAAAAAAGTGTGAAATAGGTTTATTAAGATAAAGTATAGTTTAATTTGTATATTCAAATATATAGATGGTTTAATGGCTTCTTTCATAGATGATCATTATAATACCATCCAGACAATTATTATATCACTTTATCTTAATAAAAAGATCATAATCTTAATGCTTGCTAAATCAGCATGTGAAATAACTTTTTATGAAAAACAATATATAACTGGTTATAGTATCAGATACCATATTAATTCTATTCAATTGCCTTTATATGGAATTGAACTGGTATCTTGTGATCTGATCTGTAGAGCACTAATTACTGTACTATGGACCTACAAGTCTATTTTTTAATGCTTTTTTTTAAATTTTTTTTTTTTTTTTAACTCAACTAGCTAGGCCTTGCCTAACGTGCTTTATTTAGTTTACATATGTATTTCTTTTACAAGAGTTACTATCTATAAACTATTCTAGATGCATATTAGGCTATATCGAATTTCTCCCATATCGGCTTGTTGCTATTGACTTGTCCTATTGGTACATGTCAAGGCTAATGTGCCAAGGCTCCGTTAGTATTGTTATTATATGAATAAATAAAATTAAAATTAATAATGTTTTCTCCCTGGTCCAGCCAGTTGTTCACCAGCTTCCGCTGCATGTTTGATATTTCTACTTGTCTATCTACCACTCCTTGTTGGACAGATTGTGTGGTGGATCAATTGTTATGCAAGTGCCCTTTATTCCTACTTCTTTTATCTATTCTGCTGATATTTTCACTCTTTTCCCATTGTTGAAAGCATTCGCATCTTTGTAACCATATCTTTTGTAGTGTGTCTGTCATTCTGCTTGTCACTTTTTTAATCGTGTCTTTTGTTTTTGTCCCATTTGCTCGTTCAATCAGTGAAACCAGATCTTTACTAAAAATCCCTTTAATTATATATCTGAGATTCCTTTCTGAATCGGTTATTATTTTTTCTAGCTGGCTTTGCCAATTGAATTTGTTTTCCTTGGTCTCCATTCTGCTTGAGATTTTCTCTTTTAGAACTTTCAGAAATTTTGATCTTACTTGTTTTGCATAATGTTCCCTATATATGTGCTCTACATTTTCTTGTTGATCACACCAAGGGCATTTTTCATCTTTATAGAGATCTGGTTTTCTTTTGTATAGCTTGTCTTTTGTTGGCAATTCCTCATTGAGGAGTTTGTATCTGAACGCTCTAATATTGTGATCTTGCTGGTTGATTTCGAAGCTGGTAATTTTTGATGGTGATAAACTGGCCCATGTTCTTTTCCAATCTATTTTCTTTTCATCGCTGGTTCTTAACCATGCTTTATGTCTTCTTTGTGTTGCCCATGTACTGATCCATTTGATATTTTGCCAATATTTCATAAAACCACTGGTACCAATATCTAGTTCCTCTTTGTTCCATTGTAATATACAGAATAGACTTTTGATGTGCCGGCTTTCAATTTCGACTGTCCACTCATATCCAAGCTCTCTTCCTTCCTTTGCTAAAGCATCTGCTCTTTCGTTATTATTGTTTCCTGTATGAGCTTTGATTTTTCTGAACTCAGTTGTTGCTTTTCTGGATTGGATTTTGTCCATAATAAGAGTTGTTGTCAAGAGATTTGTTGCTTTTGCTAAGCGTTGTTTTCTAGGCAGTTTAGATTGTATTGCATGTATTGTGCTCTGGTTGTCTGTGTATATTGTGACTTTTGTATCTGTATTTGTAATTGCCAGTGCTGTTAATATTGCTACGAGTTCTGCTCTTGTTGATGATGAAAAGCCTGCACATCTGCCTTTGAACTCGACTTGTATTTGTATTTCTTGGTCGATGATGATCCCTCCTATTCCCATTTTGACTTGCCTGTTGGCATATTTGTTCAATGAGCTGTCTGTATAAATGTTAACCATTCTCCAGTCCTGAATTGTTTTTTTGATTTCTTTGAGTTTCTCTCTGATTTTGTGATACAATCTCAATTCTACCAGGTCTGTTGTGTTTGTAGTTCCAATCTCTGTATCATCAATAATGATCTGAAAAATATCTGTTATCTCTGGTGATGCGTGGCTCCAATTGTGGATTTGTCTAATAGAATTTGGTGATACTTGAACTCAGGGGAGGTTACCTATTATGGGATTGTATAGTTTTGAGCTGTTTTTTGTTTTCTTAACCGGAATAGCAATTGCTTCTTTGGTGTTAACTTTTCTGATGCATCTATTTGATTTCCCTTGTGTGTCCATTCCACATCCATTACACTTTTCTATCGGAGAATCTCCTGAGATTTGTATGAAATATTGAGCCTTGAATGTGTTATTGAATATTTTAACTCGTTTATTGACTTTTCCTATATAAATATTGTGATCGATAATCGTAGATATGTATCTGTGATGCTGGATGCTGTTTTGATTGGCTAAGTCACATGTGGCAAAGGTGTTGATGGTGGTTTTCAAGTAATAATCTTCTTTCACTTGAAACCAGTGGGTAATTCCTTCATACCAGCAGGACTTCCGCCCTATATATTTTGCACCCAATCGGGTTTTGAGATATGTCCACATGATACAATGTGAGTTTGTAGTATTGGTCGCTTGTTTAATAAAAATGAAGTTGTGTTTTCTCAGATTGTCTCTGTTTTTGTTGTACCATGTGTTTGGTATAAAGTCTTCCAGAGGGGTCCAATTGTTTCCTGGTATGGAAGTTGTTAACTTGGAACCCTTAGTTTCTTTGACATGTATGTAATTTGATTTCAGAAGATGAAGGATATTTGCTGTGAGGTTTTGATGAGAGAATTTTATTATCCTGTATTGTGTGTCTAGAATATTGTGGGTTGACCAGGTCCAATTTTGCAGTTGTTGGAGTCTTGCTCTTGTAATCTGTCCTGAAATATTCTTCTTGTTGAGGTCTTGCTTACAACTTTATCAAAACAGAGGTGATTTCATATATAATCAATCTGTATATCTTGTGACCAGTCTATTTATTTCATTTGCAATAAGTAATCAGGATTATATTGGAAAAGTATCTCAAGATCTCTGCAGTATAACTTCATTCATAGTTCTGCCTTTTTGTCTTTTACCGGCAGATGGGCTTCAGGTAATTAGATGTTTGTCTTTGTGTTCATATTTCTTTTTTTCATGAACAAATAGGTCAATCAAAATTATTTTAGAATATTTCAGTATTTATAATGCTGGGTGTCACCTTCTGTGGAATCAATGGTATGTTGAAGAGAATATCCAAAATGGAAGATTTCTCTTTTTTCAATCAATTATTTTTTTTTCTCTAAATAGCCGGAACAGTGACATTTGGATATAAGAGAGTTATGTATTTGTATGGTCCTAAAAATTGGAATTGCATAGACTCGCATGGACTCGCATACATATAAAAAACATAAGTAAGTTATAACCCACCTATTAAATTTACTATAAGAGTTGAAATCGAATAAAATCGAACACAGAATCGTTAGGATCCTTATGTATTTACGTGATATGGCAGCAGAAATGAAAACTGTTTCATACTTCCTTGCTAAAGTTGTTGCCGATATTCCATGAATTTTATTGATATCACTCATGTATTCATTGGGATTAATATTGTTCTATGCATACCAAGCTCCATTCTACAAAGTCTATTTAATTGTTCTACTGTACTATATGGCAACATGGGTGATGGATATGATCAATTAATTTTTTGTAATTGTTTTTTTCAATCATAAAAATGTTTTGCATTTCAATTATAATTTTTTTTTCAGTAGGTTATTTTTTATCTTCAGTCTTACCAAAAAAAAAACTGGAATTAGCTGCCAAAGGACTGGCTCTTGCCTGTGGTCTGGTTTTGAACAGTATCACCCCTAGATTAAAATTGGTTATGTCTAACAACACCTACAAATTTCTAAGATAGTTGTGGTTTGTAAGTAATGGCTTCTTTTTATTTGATGCTATTTGAATATTTGCCTATATTAAGATAGAAAACAATCAATCTTAGGTTTCAGTACAAAGGTGGATTACTAAAGCCTTTTATCTCTGAGAGCTTAGTTCAAGGATATATGTATTTGGTTTCATCAAACTCTTCAAACCTGGCATTTAGAAATTTACTCTCACTTACTTACTTACTCTCTTTTTCTTTCAATGCACAGATAGGTAGAGATTTATACATAATCATTGAACTTTATAGTTTAAACACTACCTGATAATTTTACTGTATATTATGTTTTGTTAATTGTATTTACATAGGCTTTTCTTACATTCCTGTAGATGAAACTGACTAATAGAAGCAAACAAAAATAAGGTTAATATATAATTCTTATTGAGTTCTAATCCTTGTACCATTAGCATCTAATTTTTTCTTAAAATTGTAATATATTAAAAAAAATTCTTTGACTAAACATATTGAATCAAAATTGGAACATATGGATTTTTTTTTATTATTTATATTGAATTTTTAATATTAACTAAAAAAACCTTAAGTACTTTGGATATTCAATATTTATATATAAATTATAGATATAAAATTTCAATATTTTATTTTATTTTTATTTTTTTTAGACCTGTGGGTCTATAGCACAGTGGTTAGTGCTTCACAGGTCTGATTACAAGATACTGGTTCAAATCCTCCAGGAGGCTAATGTGATTCTTCTGATAAAAAGAAAGTAGCTGGTAGGACCTGTATCCATTGGTATAACTGTAAACTAACTGATGTTTCTTAGTATAAATACTGGTTATACGAAAGATTGTGATCAGATTGAATGTCTGAAATCAGGTATGATTATCCTTGACACAACTGTGTTACCAAATAGTAATAAGAAGAGTAGATCCCAAACCGGTAGTATACTGCTGGTGGAGAAGTTTACATGACCCAAGAGGGCAAATCAAAATTGCTGGTAGGCTTCAAGTCCAATCAAATACGTGGCTGTGTCCAGTTTTCACAGACTTTATTATCGGGAGGCCTTGGTAGGAGAAGAAATTCGTGGACCACTCTGAAGGACCGAAAACCAGGGTTCAAGATACTGTAATCAATGGCCTGATAATCAGACTACTCTTAAATAAAAGTGTTCTGGGAAAAATTAAAAAGGATTCGCATATCTTTCTGAGTTTAGTAGGGATTGAGTCCCCCTTCTAAATAAATAGTGATTGTATATAGCATTACGTAGAATAGATATATAGCTACTCATATATAAATAGATCTACTATAAACATATATGTATATCACTTGTTAATGTATGTAACTTAAGGTGCATTGTAGTAGTACATAGATGATGAGACTAATGTACGTTGCCACATAGGTAGCTATAAGCATATAATTAATAAAAGATGTGGACAATCAAAAAAGTCTTTACAAAAATAATCAACAATAGGCTCGCACAAACTCTCATCTCACATCAAATCCTATTATCTCTCAACTGGGCAGGACTTCCTGAAAGAGGCACACATGAACCTATCACAATCATTAGCCATATAATGGAAGAAGCAAAGAAAACGAACAAAGAATTATGGATGCTTTGCCAAGACATCAGCAAAGCCTACAACTTCATGAGGTACGAGATACTTAGCAAAGCAATGTATCGCATCAAGATTCCAAGCAAAATTTACAACATCATCTTGAAATATGTCACAGAGCATACATGCCAAGTAATCACAAAATATGAACTCACAGAGCCGTTTATCACAAAACAAGGAATTGACCAAGAGGACACTATATCACCTCTTCTTTGATGCATTTATTATGATCCACTTATCACAAAAATAGAAAAGTCCAAACTGGGATACACCATGGTAATTAAAATTCCCACAACATGTTTTGGAGCATGGAACTATAACACAATATACATCTCCTCGATATCATACATGGATGACACAACTTGATTTACAAATTCCAAAAAAAAGATGCAAAAGATTCAAAACCTGGTCGAAAGTTTCGCCAACATCACAGGTCTCAAGATAAATCCAAATAAATCTGTTCTTATAACAGTAAACAATACAAAACCTGCTTCCATCAACCTCCTAGGAGATAGGATCCAGGCACAAGACAAAGACACGGCCACAAGAATACTGGAAACATGGATAACAAGCACAGGTTCCAAGAAACATCAAAAACAACTAATCTTCAACAAAACCACCTTTATCACAAAACTCCTTCAGTGGAAAAAGATCACAGATAAACAATTTAGATATATAATTAACCAAGTTCTCATGCCTGCACTAGAATACCTCATCCAAGACACAGTACTAACTCAAAGAGAATGCAATCAGATCAACAGCAGAATCATATCAATTTTCAAACACAAAGTTGGACTTGCCTTAACGGCCATCAATAGCAGCATCCACTTACACACAGGATACAAAATATTCAATATCTATGACAGACAGTTAAAACTTCAAACAACAAGATGGATC